CGTGCCTGTCCCTCCCGCGGCGGGACCGGGCGCTTTGGGAGCAAATAAAAGGCTTGAGAAGGCGAATGTCGGTAGCTCCAGAAGCCTGTGTGTCGGTGTTGGGCTCTGGCCGGCTCTTATGCAACCGGGAGGGGTGTCCCCGGGGTGGTGGTGACGGGCCGCTGCCGTCGTGCCCTTCAGGGCCCGTTTCGCAGCCAGTGCGGTGAGTACCGCTGGGGAGGGGATGGCTGAGCAGCGGTGGGCTTCACCCTCGGTGCGGAGCAGGCCCCAGCTTCTGCAAGCCACCGGAGCTGGTAACTCTCCTGGTCTAGTGGTAGTGAAGACAATGCATCTTGGTTAAGGTAAGCAAAGGACAAATGCTCTTTTGGTGCTGCTGTGCACAACTGCCATTTGACTGGAATATTGCTGTACTGCGAGCAATTGCTTATCTGTCTATGAGTAAGTAGAAGAGGGCGAACTCGGCTGTCTGAGGTGTAGTAATATGGCTGGATCTGCTCTGAGAAGGAGGTCAAGTTCAGGATTCCAGCAGCCTCAAAAACCTGCAGAGAGTGTGTAAGTAAGTGTAGTGTGTGCACATGCTAGATCAAAGCTAGCTGAAGTGATAATGTGAATGTATATGGGGGAGGGGTTCCTGTTTTCTTTTGTACCTAAAATATAAATTGAGTGCCTAATAAATAGGGCTGTTTCTCATCATATGCTAGTAAATACTTTTCTTAGTAGCATTAGACTCTTTCCTAGCTGAAAGAGCTGTGTTCACTGATTTGCCCCAAAGGCTAGTAGTCTTAGGCTTGAGAAAAGGTATATGGAGTCATTGCTATGTTCCCTGGTCTTTCTAGTTTCATAAACAGGGCCTGGAGGAGTGGACAGAAAAACACATGGTCCTTGCCCGTGGCTGGTAGGGACTTCAGGCAGGGCACCCTTTTAGTCTATGCTGCCAGGGATAAGTTGGGTTGAAAAAAGGTGAGCTCTTACAATTTTATCCTTTCTTGTAGCTTGTGGTTGAGTCTCCTACCTTGTGTAGCTTTACTCTGTCACAGCTATTGAACCTGGTCAGTTTTATTACAGGCAGTAATAGAGAGGGAGGGAGCCTCGTTGACCTCCTTGCATGTGTTCTCTGCAATATGCGTTCTGCTTCGACTGGACACCGTGGAGTACACATGCCTTCATGGCAGGGAAGGCTTCAGCTGAGGGCTGCTGCCTCTGTTGCTGAAATTCTTCAGACAAGATTAAAACTCTAATGTGGATCTTCTGGTATAAGGTCTATGTTCTCAGCTTAGTGTAACTTAAAATAAAATCAATTGAAATATAAAGCTACTAGGGAGGATACTTCTTTAATTCTGATTAAATTGTCATGTCCAGTAGCTATTCTTATGTTTCTGGATATGTCCATAGAGCAGGAAGAATGAACTAGAACAACTGTAGCCTGTGTTTGGCCTCTGTGAGAGGACAAACTAGAACTTGCCAACTTGTGTTGCATTATGTTACCCTTATCAGGACCCTAGCTGTCCAGTTAGCAGAAAGATGTAACTCTACCTTGCTGGGAAGTATTTGTGCCTTAAGTTCTTGCTGGCTGTTCCTTCCATGAGACTGAGCATTTGGAATTGCTGGATCCAGGGAAGATGATACAAAAGGGACTTAGCCATGATATGGCCTTGGGAATGAGGCCAAACTTGCTGGGATTAAAAAATAACTGTTTTTAAATCTGCAAGTGAAGTTCTTTTGCAGAAAGGAAAGCAAAAAAACCACGTTTTAAGACAGCACACAGGCTAAGAGTAGCCTATTTGTGGTAGAAAAGTCTGCATTCTTGTTGTAATGAAGACCTGGAAATGACTTGAACAAACACACGCTGTGATAGTACTATGACCTTCATCTAGTCTTCCTCCCAGTCCAACTACTATATAAACATTGCTTCCTCCACTCTCCTTACATGCATCTGTGCATGTCCACATACAGGCCTATCTCTTGTGATACATTATCATTCCCTTTCCAGTTGTGCACTATGGTACACATAGTGCATCCATGCTGTATACATTCATAGCTATCATGAACTGTAAAATTGAGTTTTATGTCTCTGTGCTGGAAGGCTACAAAGCAGGTAATACAAGTCATACAGAATTATGTTCACTGTCTAAACTTGTATCAATTAACTGCTTCTCAGCAGAACACAGACCATGTTGCTAACATGCAAGTTTCAGCATGGGGGAAGAGTTCGAACTTGAATTGCTGTAGTATTGTATTCCTGAAAGGTATGTCTTGTACTATAAGCTGCTTGTTGAAGCATGGTGGACAATAGCCACAAGCTAGCCTCTGTGCTTTGACAATTGCTTGTGGTCACAGAAAGTAGCAGCTGACACTTGCAGTTTCCCCCAGCAGTGCTAGTAGTGGCAGCAGAACAAACCTGAGGAGATGGAGTGACTTACCTGTGTCATATCTGGAAAACTATCTTTTAATTTAAACCAGCATTAAAATGTTGGGCGGTACAGAAGTGGATGACTTAACTGCTGCCGTGTTCTGGTAAAAGCTATTGGACAGCCTCGTGTTATGGCTGGAGATCATGCTAAGCTACAAACATTGTTGGAGGGGACACTGAGATTCAAGTTTGTGTTGAAGCAAATTAGACTTGTACAATTGTTATGAAGCTTACAAACTCTGTCCAAGGGTAAGTCTGTCTTGCAAAAAGAACTTGTGTGCAATACTGCAGACTTTGCCCAAATCTTTTATTGGCAAACTTTCTACTTTTATTGTAGCTGAAGCGTATCTGTTGCTTGGAAAGCAACAAGTGGAACAACCTCATGCTTTAGTTCTTGTATTGCTGTACTCTACACCTTCTGGTGGAAGTTGGAAAGCCTAATGGGGAACTCAGAAGTCTTGGGTGGACTGCTTAGCAGTATACTACTGGATAAGCAAGTGAATTGTACTTCAGTACTTAAAGTTTTTCATAGCATGTGTCTCTGTACAGGCCAGTAGGATGGCTGTGCATTGCAGTAAATGTATGGTACTTTCACAAGCAGTTAAGCTCTTGAGTGCTGCAGGTATACAGCACTTCCAGTGGGGCAGCTTGCTTCACAGATGGTCAGTTGGCCAAAGCATTTACTTTCTGAGCTTGAAGTTGCATTAAATATTCTGTTCACGGCAAACCGGACAAGGTGATGACAGAAAGCTCTCCACTGTAGCAACCCACAATGTGGCACCATGCCAATACAGTACAGCTTGGAAATGGAAGTCAAATGTCTTGTTCAGTAGTGGTAAATGATGGAAAAATGCCATCCTACAGTGCTAAAATAGCAAATTTGAGTCAGTCATGTTCTTGACAGGGTACTTGAGAATTTGCTTTCCATCAGCAGCATTAAGCAGTGAGTTTGTACCATTCTGAGGTATCCTTTGTGTGAAGGCTTAGGGTGAGCTAAAAAGGAGAACAATGGAGTAGGGTATAAAGCTCCAAGTGCTTTTTCTAGTGAAATTAAACTTGATAAAGTAGTAATCTCATCTAAAGATATCTAGATGATCAGTATGGTGACTGTGCAGTGGTTAAAACTAACATAATCAACTAGATTGCCTGCTAAAGTAATACAACAAACTATTTCACTGCCCTTAACTGTGGGTTTACACTTCCTCAAGAGGTTAAGTTCTCAGTATAAATACACTTGCAATGCCATATGCTCTTCCTCCTGAGCTGTTCACTCAGGAACCACCACCAGAGGAGCGATGGTTCCCTTCTACTTGTTACACCTTTTCAGGGTGGGCTTGTTCATGTCAATACTCTTCAGCAAGAGCATGTGAATACCTGTTACTATTTATGGGCTGTAAGCCAGTCCTCTCTGAATTCCAGGAAGCAAATGTAGAACGAATGACAGTTGTCATAGTATCATCCTACAACATGGCTGCTGTCCTCAATCCAGTTCCAGGTATCATTTGTCGTCTTCTGTAGTTGAGACAAATAGGTTTTCTGGTAAGTGGGTCAACGGGAACATCTTTGCTCAAACAGATTCTGTGCAACAGCTTCAGTTGCTAAATCCTTTAAGGAGACAAGACTTAAGCTTTACAAGTGATCTCTGATCCCAGTAACTGGTGACACACTTCAGAGTCATGCACCCACTGTAAAAGCAGTGCCATAGGAGATAAGCACATTGGTTAGAATACTGTCAACAAAGTATATGGATATCCAGGAACTTGCTACGTTTCGAAATATATCCCTTTGTTAACACTATTTCATCTGTTACTGTTTCTGTAAAAGTGACTTCTGTGCTGCCTGTTTTAGCTGGGTTTGTCACCTAGACTAAAAGGTTAAATTACCTGTTTGTGGTTAGTGAGAACTTGCAGAGAAGTCATTAATATTCAAAGTGATAGTTAGCACTAAAATAAAATACCTGTTACAGGAGCTACTAATCCAAGAAGTTAATTCTAGTTAGTCAAAACAAAGTTAAACAAAAAGCTTTGTCTTAATTCTGTTCTTTAATGTTGGATGGCTTGTTGCCTCTAATCAGCATGATTAAACTCAACACTAAGGCATGCCTTAGCTGCTCAAGGTTCCACAGTTCAGTGGCTTGTCTTGAGCTGTAGAAAGGTAATGCCTTATTGCTGTTCTTACAGGTGTTGTGAAATGCATCACTTGGGTGGTGGCAATGCTCTTTAAGACAGCAGTCACCTTTCCTATATCTTCTGCAGAAAGACTTCTATAGACCTGCAGAGGTACTTGACTATGTAGGCTCAGTGTGGGAAAGGAAACGGATACACCGGCTGTGAAGTGCCTGCAGTGTTAAGAACAGTCTCAAAGGATTGGGGAAGTATATCCAAGTACTGCTCAACTTGAGCTGCTTTTGAAAGTCTGTTCTCATCTTAATCCATTTTTTCAAGATCTAGCTTCAATACAATATTTGCACTTCAGCATATTTATAGTAGTTTGACTTGAGTGATTGACTGATTTGAGTCTGACCTCGGTGATCGAATGAAGTCAGAGTAAGATGGTAAATGAACTGAAAGTATGACTTGCTCAGAAAGCATGTGCAGAATCACACTCTTGATCTAGTGAATGTCTTTGAAACGTTATGTCCTTGAACAGTACCAAATTTCCTGTCCTTCATGTGTTTGGCAGAGTTTGAAATTGCAGACTCTTCTCCCACCATGAGAAGAATCAAATCTGCTGGTATGTGTAGCTTACTTCAGCATTGTTCAGTTTCATAGTGAAGCTTGTGGTGGAGTAAT